CTCCTCTCAAAAAAGATCTATTGGCATTGGAAAAGGTTCAGAAAAGGGCAACGAAAAGGATTAGGGTTTTGGAAAACCCTAGTTCGAACTACCTGTTAAACCTCATTCCAGGAGGAATACCAGGTAGTTCGATTTAGGGCTTTATTTCGAACTACCAGGTCCCTGCCGCGTGTAGACGTGGGCAATTAGTCCCGACTTGTAAATTTCAAAAATGGTGACCAGCCAAGAAGATGCAAATCCAGCGGGGGATATTTAAATCCCAGGCTTGATTTGCAACATCAAATGCCTACATTAGCCTCCCTAGTTCGAACTAGGGGGCTAGTGTAGACAAACCCTCGGGCTATGTCTAGACTGCAAGCCTCTTTCGAAAGAGAGCGTCTAGACTGCACGCCGCTTTTTCGAAAGAAAGCACCCAGTGAGTAAAAAGCCTGTTTGCTTTCAAGAACGCCTTTTTTCGAAAGAGCACTTTCGAAAAAAGGCGTTCTTCCTTGTGAAATTAGGTTTACCGCCGTCGAAAGAAAAGCCGCATTCTTTCGATTTGATTTCGAAAGAACGTGGCTGCAGTCGAAAAACCCCCTGAGTCTGGACACAGCCTAAAGGAAGCTGGAGGAAGGGTGGCTCTATTTCAAAATAAGTGCTGTGTAGACGCTCCCAATTTCAAAATAAGCTACGCAATTGAGATAGCTCAATTTGCGTCGCTTATTTCGAGTTAAGCCCTGCTGTGTAAGATGCTCACTATGATGATAACTACAGTTGAGAGTTACTCATCTCTGATCCCTTAGCAACAGCCCCGTGTTCCTGCAGAAAGTGCTCATGTCTCCTCTCAGTCATCTCTCCAACGTTCTGTCCCCATCCCTGCAGAGACCTGGACAGTCTCCTTAGATTTCTTCCTAGCCAGCTATAATTTACAAATACCACAAAACAGCCCACAGCCAGAGAGTTCTGTGGGAAGGTCCCTTAATTGTTGTTTACTCCTAAAACTGGATAATCAGCAGAGAAGAAGAGAGGGTTGTTTCCAGACTCTTTACCTTTAGCTGCCCTCTTCTCCTCTAGAGGCTGAGAGAACCCCACAGGGACGTCACAGAACTATATTATAGATGTTAAAACCCCCATGTCAGCTCTCGGCATGGGATGCTGCTGCAGATGCCAGGGTGAGAGAGGTGAGGGATACGGCTACCTGAGGGGGACTACAAGGCAAGAAACTTCCCTCTAAGAATTCACAGGTACCATCTCTTGCTGAGGAGCTCACCTGCTTGGCAACCCCAGGGCAACATGGGTATGATGGCATAGAGAGAAAATCTGAGGCCTTCGTGCTCTGCTCAGCCATTAAATATCTCAGGGACCCTGCTACAAGGGATGTGTAGGGCCCTCAGACTGGCTGGTGGACTCCAAACCTGAGGTAGGTTCATTACTGGGGCAGAGTGGAACCTTCAGGGGGAAAAAACGTTAGTTGATATATAATGTGGCCGCTCTACTCTGCACTGGTTAGGCCTCAGCTGGAGTACTGTGTCCAGTTCTGGGCGCCACATTTCAAGAAAGATGTGGAGAAATTGGAAAGGGTACAGAGAAGAGCGACAAGAATGATTAAAGGTCTAGAGAACATGACCTATGAAGCCAGGCTTCATGAACTGGGCTTGTTTAGTTTGGAAAAAAGAAGATTAAGGGGGGACATGATAGCGGTTTTCAAATATCTAAAAGGGTGTCACAAGGAGGAAGGAGAAAATTTGTTCCTCTTGGTTTCTGAGGACAGGACAAGGAGTAATGGGCTTAAAGTGCAGCAGGGGAGGTTTAGATTGGACATTAGGAAAAAATTCCTAACTGTCAGGGAGGTCAAATATTGGAATAAATTGCCAAGGGAGGTGGTGGAATCTCCCTCTCTGGAGATATTTAAGAACAGGTTAGATAGACATCTGTCAGGGATGGTGTAGACAGAGCTTGGTCCTGCCTTGAGGGCGGGGGGCTGGACTTGATGACCTCTCGAGGTCCCTTCCAGTCCTATTATTCTATGATTCTATGATTCTATAATATAAGGCCAAACTCTGAGGCCATGGCCAGTACATTGCTGAGGCCTCTCTCAGGAAAAACTCCCCTTGTAGTAAGATCTGTGAAAAGCCTCAGGAGCCAGCTGTGTGTAAATACACAGACACTGTCACCTCCTCCTCCAGCATGTCTGGCTCTGGCTGTTCGCAGGGGACTTTTATCTGAGTTTTCTCTGCTAGATGCATGGTGATGCTCAGTCTTCCCACTGGGATAATTAGAATCATTTTTTTCAACATGGGCAAGACAGAGATTCTCCTGCTTTTATTCCACAAGTCAGCTGAGCTGTTGTTATGCCTAAAATGTTCAATAAAACAATCCAGAGAGAAGCAGACACCCAGCATGAAAACAATTAGTCCAAATGCCTAAAATTTCACAAACATTACGCAACAGATAATGGGGACTTCTAATTGAAGGTGTCAGAGAGTGATAACTAAAAATGCTGCCCCCAGCAACACCCACATAAGAACATAAGAACGGCCGTACTGGGTCAGACCAACGGTCCGTCTAGCCCAGTAGCCTGTCTGCTGACAGTGGCCAGCACCAGGTGCCCTGGAGGGGGTGGACTGAAGACAATGATCAAGTGATTTGTCTCCTGCCATCCCTCTCCAGCCTCTGACAAACCGACGCCAGGGACACCATTTTATCGCCTGGCTAATATGGACCTAACCTCCATGAAACTATCTAGCTTCTCTTTAAACTCTGTTATAGTTCTAGCCTTCACAGCCTCCTCTGGCAAGGAGTTCCACAGGTTGACTATGCGCTATGTGAAGAAGAACTTTCTTTTATTAGTTTTAATTAAGCCCACAAAGTCTCAATACATTGTTAATCCCATTCATCTATGCTCTTGTCTCCAGTAATGTAGATAGCAAGGAGTTCTATGGGCCAAATATGGGTAACGTTAGCAAGCATCTTTTCTAAATGTTATATGTTCGGAGTTTCACTGTAACTAAATTTTCCCTTGTTTGTGTGTTCTGAGAGACAGTACAGTACAGATGAATCCCTGATCTCATTTCTTTATCAATATATCCAGAGGGCTCAGAAGGGATCCATTAAGTCTGACCTCCTGTATAATACAGGCCCATCAAAATTCACCCAGGTACATCTGTATTAAGAGTAATACCTTGTGTGTGACTAAGTCCTGTCCTCAGCTAAGGTTTTACATTATAGAATCATAGAGGCTCAGGGTGAAAAGTAATGGTCACCTTTTTTGGAGACCTCCACAGAACAAGCTACTGCCGTCTCCTAAGCTGTCGGTTGCATTCTCTGCCTCTTCTGTTAAGACTATTTTCCTCAGATTTAATTTAATTCTTCTATGCTACAGTTTGAACCCATTGCCTCTTATTCCCACTCTGTGGTTAAGAGAGAACAACTTTCCTACAACTTCTTATGGCAGTCTTTCAATTTTTTAAGAAGACCACTATCATGTTCTCATGTAATCTTTTGTTTTCCCAACTAAATACACCTGGGTTTTTTCGCTTGCGTTTTTGTCTGGATATTCCAGTTCCTCTACATTCTTTCTATGCATTGGTGACCAAAATTGAACGCAGTGCTCCATATTAGGCCTAAACGCATGGAGTGGAGGAAAACTGCCATGTAGCACAAGCTGGCATGCAAGCTCTCTGCTAATGCAACCTATGCTGAATGTACGTTGTTTGAAACAGCAACAAACCCATACCCCTGAGAGATGCAGCTATATCAACCTCACCCCCATGGAGATATGATGAAGTTGACAGAAGAATTTTTCTCTTTACCTAGCTACCATCCATCTCTTTACCTAGCTACCGTCCTTTGTTAAAAGGAGAATCTTTGCTTTCTGTGTGAGTACTGTCTACACCATGGGTTCCCAAACTGGGGCGCATGCTGGTTCAAATGCACTATGCGTGGCAATTATGCAATTTAATTAATAGTTTGAAGTTAAAATCCTACAAATTTAAAACTGTTCTTATACTTCCCTTTAGCAAGCACATTAATAAACAATTCTATTACATATATTTAATTGCTTGAACTTTCCTGTAAGTGTAAACTACAGAAAATGACTTTGCCCCGTCAATGACAGGCGTCACCTGCTAGCTAACTATTTTTCTAGTTAAAAAAATAATAGCACAAAAATCAAGCATGGCATTTCCTCTGATGTTTTATAGTCACTTATCAATTTTCCTAATGTTTGTATTGCTGGCTATCTACGTTTCCTTTCCCCAGAAATTGCTCCCTTCAGTTATATCTGCTACATCCTTAATAGAAACTGGGGGACGAAAAGTGAGTGCACTTCCATCTCCAGCCCATTCCATAGGCACCTAAACACTGGCTTTCTTTTGGCCACTTCCGTGTCTGAACAGATGATTACTTTTAGCGCCTCTCAGTGATGCCCAGATCTCGTATGTTTCCCATTGGCACAAGTCAAAGAGAAGCTTTGGTGGGTTTTTTTCCACTTTCAGATTTTGAACAACCAAGTGGCTAGGTTTTCCACAAGGCAGGAGCTCTTTAGTCTGTGTTTCATTGGGTTAGGCACAAATGAAGGAAAACATGTATCTACACGTCAAATTCCTGATAGTGCTCATGGTGCCGCGCTATGATATGCAGGAATTTTTGATGCACGAAGCACCATAAACTATGAAATGGACATTAGTAGGGTCCGTTCTTCATATTTCATATGTCTGAATAATGAAAATTTCATTTTTTTCAGTGTTTTAAGAATAACCAACGAGCATCATCCATGAGAAAAATCTCCAGCAGCGCATGTACTCTCTCATATTAACATTGACTCTCTTCACTGCCATTTCTGCTGCAACCATCACCCTAGACCCAGGACACATAAAGAAGTAAGGAGAACATATGGTACACGCAAGATAAACAATTAAGCCTTATAGTTCAACACAAACTCCCTTACTTCATGGCAGATTTCAACACAACCGACTTCACCAACCCCTCCACCTTCATCCTGCTGCATCCCCTTCTGTGCCATGTACGTCATCGCTCTCTTGGGGAATTTCACCATCCTCTTCATTGTGAAGACAGAGCCGAGCCTCCATGAGCCCATGTACTATTTCCTCTGCATGCTGGCTATCACTGACCTGGTCCTGTCCACGTCCACCCTGCCCAAAATGCTGAGCATCTTCTGGTTCAATGCCAGGGAGATCGATTTCAATGTCTGTCTCACCCAGATGTACTTCATTCACTGCTTCTCAGCGATGGAGTCCGGGATCTTCGTGGCCATGGCGTTGGATCGCTACGTGGCCATCTGCCATCCCCTGAGACATTCCACCATCCTGACAAACCCCATGGTGGCCAAGATTGGCCTGGCCGTGATACTGCGCAGCAGCATTCTCACACTGCCCTACCCCTTCCTGGTAAGGCAGTGGCCATACTGCAGAACTAACATCATTCCCCACTCATACTGTGACCACATAGCTATAGTGAAGTTGGCCTGCGCGGACATCCGAGTCAGTAGTTATTACGGCCTCTTTGTGGTGATCTCTGTGTGGCTGGATGTGTTGTTTATCACCATTTCCTATACTCAGATTCTCAGGGCCATTTTCAGGCTCCCCACAAAGGACGCCCGGCTCAAGACCTTTGGCACTTGCAGCTCTCACCTTTGTGCTATATTAGCTTTTTACATCCCACAGTTTTTCTACTCATTCACACTCCGGTTTGGCCAGAATGTGCCCCGATATTTCCTCATTCATATTGCCAATGTGTACCTTCTGGTTCCTCCAGTGTTACACCCCATCATCTATGGCATGAGGACCAAACAGATCCGGGACAAGCTGCTCCAGCTCTTTACTCATACAGGGACCTAAATCTCATCTTCTCGTGCTTTGGCGCTCAGACCCGGCTCAGTGCAGAGGTCGCTGGCGACCCCTCTTCCCAAAATAATGTATTAGATGGTCAGAGAGACATTAAAACTGTATTGCCCTTACTGTGCTAAATTCAGCATGACAAACTGAGGAATCAGCCAATGTACAATACACTGTGTTGCTATCTTTTCAACCGTGGGTAGCTGGACCCCCATATCCATGTCCTTTGCCCCACTTCTTCTGCTAATGTTCCACCTCTGCTCTGGGTCTTACCCCCACCTGTGCCCCACCATGTCACTTTCTCCTCTTCCCTTATCAGTCACGGGCTCAATTCCAACTCAATCTCTCCTCCCCTACATGCCAAGGAGCCAGTTCAGATTGTAGGAGGTTGGCCACTTTAACTGGGATGCCAGGGGCCGCTTAAGCTCTTGGGATCTCTCCTCCTGGGAGGGAGACAACTAAGCAGTGAGCTGGCAGGGGCACTGTGTCTGATTCCTGTATAAAACAATGAGCATTAAATTAGTATTAGAGACAGCTCGAATGCGAACATTTTCTGACCTCTTGTCACAAGTCACTTCAGACTTGTTCAGGTTAACGTTTGGTGGTGTATTTTCTTACTTTGCAACTAACTGAGCAGTCCTCATCACACATCCTCAGTTCTCTCCGCTCTGGAGCCAAGAGGGATCCATTGGGTTACAGCGGGTGGAGTGCTTATATCTGGGATCTATAGGAAAACAACAGAATCGACTTGCTGAATAAAACCAGTGGCCCATGTATCCCAGTGTCCTGTCTTCCAACAGTGTTCAACTCCAGGGCTATGTCTAGACTGCAGGCTTCTTTCAAAAGAGGCTCTTTCGAAAGCATCTTTCGAAAGATCGCGTCTAGACTGCAGGTGGATCTTTCGAAAGAGAAATCCGCTTTTTCAAAAGAGAGCACCCAGCGAGTCTGGATGCTCTCTTTCGAAGACGGCCTCTTTACATTGAAGAACGCCTTCTTTCGAAAGAGGGAATTTCGAAAGAAGGCGTTCTTCCTCGTAAATTGAGGTTTCCCGCCATCGAAAGAAAAGCCAAGTTCTTTCGAAATAATTTCGAAAGAACGCGGCTTGAGTCTGGACACAGGGGAAGTTTTTTCGGGAAAAGGCTATTTTTCCCGAAAAAACCCCTGAGTCTGGACACGGCCCAGGTGCTTGAAAGGGACTGGACGGAACAGGGAATCATCAAGTGATTCATGCCCCGTTGCCCACTCTTGGCTTCTAGCAAACAGAAGCTAGGGACATCATTCCTGTCCGTCCTGCCTCAAAACCATTGGTGGACCTGTCCTCCATGAAACTAGTTAGTTATTATTGGAACTGAGTTATAGTTCTGAAAACCTCAGATTCGCCTTGAGAGGATGGGGAAGGCTCAGGCTGCCTCTACAATGCTGCCCCTGCAACCCAGCTATGAACAACCCCTGCCAGAGCTGGAGTCTATGTCCCTCTGGGCGTGATGGAGAGGCCATGGTTCCAGGGAAGTCAGGACTCCTGGGTGTGTCTAGACTACAGGGTTTTGTTGGCAAAAGTCCACTTTTGCCAACAAAACTACACCTGCGTCTACACTGCCGCTGAGTTCTGTCGATATAACGTTGACAGAACTCAGCAGTTTTGTCGACGGCGGTAAACCTCATTCTACAAGGAATAATGCCTTCTGTCAACAGAGTTCTGTTGACAGAAGGCATTATTGCATCTACACTGTCCTTTGCGTCTACACTGTCATGTCGACAAGGCATCTTGCTTTGTCGACAGAACTGGCTGTAGTCTAGACGCTCTTTGTCGACAAAAGCTTTGTCGACAGAACTTCTGTCGACAAAATCCTGTAGTCTAGATGTACGCTGTGAGACCTTGGCCTAGAGACCAGTTCAGTTTACCTGAAAAATGGGGATATTTTCCAGTTGACTTTCCTTTGATAGGTGTTTTCCAGATCCACCAATGAAAGCCACAACACAGTTAAATGGTGGCTATTTAGGAGAATTACTGAGCTTTGATACCTTAGCAACAGCCCTGTGTGCATGGAAACTCTGTTTGTGTCCTCGATCAGTCACCTGTCTCCAGAGCTCTCTGACTACAACCCAATTATCCTTGGAATTTACAGGGAAATTGACTTTATGGAGATCTGGGCATCGCCCCTCGTTTTTTTACTAGTCAATTATAATTTTAATTGTACACAAATGCACAGAGCAGACAATTTCTCTCTGACTCAGTCTGGAGCCCCAGGGTTCTCTTCTCCCTTTGGGAAGGTTGCTTAATTAATGTTTATTCCTAAAGCTAGACAAAAAGCCAAGAAGCATGGACAGGCTTCTCCGCAGCCTGTTTGCATCCAAAGGCCTCTTCTCCCCAGAGGCTAAGCAAAATTCCCTTGGATCCCACAGAGCCGTATTATTCACGGCGCTCACCCCTGTGTTGAGTTTCATTGAGCGATGCTGCTGCAGATGCGTAGGTCAGAGAGGTGTTGGATTCAGCTACCTGAGGGTGATTCTCAGGGAAGACGGTTCTGTCTCAGAACCCATAGGTACCCATCACTTGCTGCTCATCTCACCTGCTCCATGAACTCAGCGCAACATTGGAGTCTCAGGTCCTTTCTGCTCTGCACAGTCTCTAAATATTACAGGGCTCTTGCCAAAGCGGTGAGTTTGCTCCAGTACCATGGGCTAAAATGCACCTGTTCGATGTGCCTCCCTGTCTGCTGGCTTCCAGCTCCCAGACGTCTGTGGCACAGGTGATCCAATAAGCTGAAAGGTATTCATAGATGTACAATATAAGACCAAATTCGGAGACTCTAGCTCATACTTTGCTCAGGCACCACTAAGGTAAAAAATTCCCCTTGGAATAAGAACCGATAAAGAGCTCACCTGCCAGCTATGTATAAAGGCACAGAGCCTATCACCACACCCTTTGATATTCCAGTGCTCTGGCTGCTAATGGTGCCAGATCTGTTATCTGACTTGCACCTCCCGGAAAGCATCTGTAGCCAGATGTGAACCCCCATTTTAACATCCATCTTTGTCTGCTTGAAACCATGCAGGGCACATAAGAGCAGGAAAACAGCATATTCTTTGAAAACCTTGGAGCAGGAGGTTTAGATATGCTGGCTCAGCTGGCTTAGACAACTGTAAGCAGAGATAGGAGGATGGTCAAACTAATTGTTGACCAAGAGGCTGTACATCGCGCCCTTTACTTAACCCATATTGATACGAACACATACCCGTCCACGGGGGAAGGAATCTCCCACCCAACAAGAACATCCGGCAGTCCTAATTTAGCTATCTTCCTCTCTTACAAGTGTAAATTAACTTGTAACCTGCTTGTAAGAACTGGCACCACAAAACGGACCAGTACAATTTGGCCTCTTAAGATAAGAAAGAGGATACGGGCCCCCAGGGGTATAAAGATGAGTCCAGCAGCGCACTTGCTTTGTGTGTCAATCTACCATCTATCTGCTGGTCGGGTTTGGTGTTTGATCTCCCGAGGTTCCAGAGGGGACGCCCACCTCGTATTCGTCTTTCTGAGGAATTGAGAGACCGGCCCTGGCCTGACATGCTGGAGTCGAGGGGCACAGAAGGGGTAAAAATTGTACCTGGATGTGGTCCTTTGTTTAAGTATATATACATAGTGTCAGAGCTCTTTAAAGATTAAGCTGTCATTTGGTACCATTATTTCTATTTTCTATCTTTACCTTTTTCCTGTAACCACTTTTTAAGATCTATCTATATTTTACTAGTATTTAAGAAATAGAGCAATAGCCAGTGTAACCATATGATTTATAAGTTCCTTTAATAAACCTGTAACTGTTTAAGTTTAACCTGACTCCTTCAGTTGCTGTAATAGAACCAAGCACAATTTAAAAGAACTTCAGCCGGTCATAAAGGGACAGACATAGGGAGAGCTTGGACGTTTGGATCTGTGTCACTCCCAGGTGACAAGATCCGTTGGGGCACCTTTCCAGCCTTTCCCAGGCTGCCCGCTGCGAAGGAACTTTGTGTTCTAGCAGTTAAAATCTAAGGTGTAATAAGCTCTTCCTACACACTAGGGCGTCTGTTAGCCTGTTTGGCTACCCTCTGCGACGGGACCTCGGTCCTAGCAGTAAAGTCACGGACGTTAAACACTCGAGGCTCCTTTCAGCCTTCTGGGCTGCCCGCTGCGACGAGACTTCGTGTATTAGCAGTTGACTTAGGAGACATACCCACACACACTGCCCTGACCGTCGGCTGACAGCATGGCAGTGCTAGGGCACCTCACTGGAACAATTACGGGAATCTTTCAGCTGGGGGAAAATAATTTATCTCCTAGATTCATTTGAGAAGTTACCTGAACTGTAATGTCAAAGACTTTCAAAGAAATGCTGGTGGAAGCAAACACCCAGCATAGGAAATGTCAATGCCAACAGTGAATGTTTGGCAAAGGTATAAGCAAGTGAAAATGAGATCTCTAGTGGAATGTGTCCAACAGCCTTCGCTACAGTCAGTGCAACCAGTCCTGCATAGAGTGAACAGTCGATTGGTGAGTCCCATTCACCTCGGCTCTTTGCTCCATTAACGTGTATGGCAAGGAGTTCCACAGGCCAAATATGGATTGTGTAAGCAGTTTTCTTTTATCGGTGTTATATATACCAGCTTTCAATACAATTGATTATTTCCTTCTACATGTATTGTGAGACAGTAAAAATATATGCCTGTTCTACTTTCTTCATCAATAAGGGTACGCCTACACTAGACCCTAGTTTGAACTAGGGAGGTTAATGAGGGTGACCGAAGTTGCTAATGAAGCACGGGATTTAAATATCCTGAGTTTGATTAGCATAATCCCGTCCAGTCGCCATTTTGGAAACTGACTAGCCTGAAGTTAACTGCCCGCGTCTATACATGGCAGAGAAGCAGGATTCCAAGATAAACCCCTTAGTTTGAATTAACTGTTAAACTTCATTCCACTTCTCTGCCGCGTGTAGACATGGGCAGTTACCTCATTAGCCTCCCTAGTTTGAACTAGGGGGCTAGTGTAGACGTACCCTCTATGTATAGAATGTAAGGTTATGAGGGACCATCTAAGATGACTTCCTGTTTAACAGAAGAGCAGGCTGTGCGAGCAGGAGCAACAAATAGGGAGTTTTGAGAGGCAGTTTGTGGGGGGGGGGGGGCGTTACTTGCTCTGTGCTGAGCTTGTGTTTATCTGTTTGGTTTGTTTGTCTGTTTGAAGGAGCGTGTGCTGTGGCCGGCAGTTGGAAGCTGTGAGCTTCTACAGGTTTCAAATCTAGAAGCCTCTGTTCATTGGCTGAGCCTTAGACAGGGGGCGGGGCTATCAGGAAGGCCAGGGCTTTATAAAGCAGTGAGTCAGTGACCAGAGAGCTTTGCAAACAGGAACAGCAAACAGGGAGTTTTGGGCCAAGGTACTCTTGCCAGTCTTTATAGTTTAGTTTAAAGGTTTTAATCAAAACTTCCTGATTTAACTAGAAACCCTCTCAATAACCTTGGTAGCTGTAGGAGAGAATGCAGGCAGAAGCCCAGCAACAAAGTGGAGCTATCCTGTTTAGTGAGCTCAGTGTAACATGTGTGATTACCTGCCCTGTGGGCGGGTGGCGTATGTGTGCATTCGGTGCAAGGAGCTCCTTGCCCTCAGAGACCGCGTACGGGCTTGGGAAGCCAGGGTGGCTGAACTGGAGGAGCTGAGGGAGACAGAGAGGAATGTAGACGAGGCTTTCTGGAGCACTGTAGAATTGTCCCATCTCCGGTCAGACAGCCCCTGGACTGTAAAGGAGGATGAAAGGCTCAGGGAAGGAGAGCAGTCAACAGGAGCAGAGGGAAACCTTCCCATAGTTGGGACCCTCCTTCCAGATGTTGGGGTATCCTCTCGCACTGAGGTTACCTCTCCAGGGAAGGGAACTCCAGTCAGTAGGAAAAGGCAGTTTTAGTAATGGGAGATTCGATCATTAGAAATGTAGATAGCTGGGTTTGTGATGACCAGGAGAACCATATGTTGACTTGCCTGACTGGTGTGAAGTTTGCAGATCTCTCAAGGCATCTAGATAGACTTATGTGTAGTGCTGGGGAGGGGTTGGTGGTCGTGGTCCATGCAAGTACCAATGACATAGGGAAGGGTAGCAGAGACGTCCTGGAGACCAAATTTAGGCTGCTAGGAAAGAGACTGAAATCCAGGACTTTTATGGTGGCATTCTCTGAAATACTTCCAGTTCCACGCACAGGGCCAGATAGGCAGGCAGAGCTTCAGAGTCTCAATGTGTGGATGAGACAATGGTGTAGGGAGAAGGGGTGTAGCTTTATAAGGAACTAGGGAAACATTTGGTATGGGGGAGCCTACAAAGGAAGGATGGGCTCCACCTACACCAAAGTGGATCCAGACTGCCGGAATTTAACATTAAAAAAGTTTTTAAACTAAGAGATGGAGGAAAGCCAATTGGTGCAAAGGAGCACATGGATCAGACAGAGACGTCTCTTAGAGGAGAGTCTATTGATAGAGATTCTCTAAGTTTTAGTCAGGAGGAGAGGATGGAAGAGGATAACGTATGGGCCAGATCAGATGAAAAACATTCACATAAAAAAGAATCAGACACATCAGAAAAGGGGAGACAACGAAACAGTGACAAGTTTTTAAAGTGCTTGTACACAAATGTAGAAGTCGAAAAAATAAGATGGGTGAACTGGAGTGCCTCGTGTTAAAGGAGGATACTGATATAGTAGACATCACAGAAACCTGGTGGAGTGAGGACAATCAATGGGACACGGACACATTCATTCCGGGGTACAAACTATATCGGAAGGACAGAACAGGTTGCGCCGGTTGGGGAGTGGCACTATATGTGAAAAAAAAATTTAGAATCAAATGAAGGAAAAATCTTAACTATATCAACATGTTCCATAGAATCGCTGTGGATAGTAATTCCCTGCTCTAATAAGAGTATAGCAGTAGGGATATATTATCGACCCCCTGACCAGGATAGTAATAGTGACTATGAAATGTTAAGTGAGATTAGAGAGGCTATCAAAATAAATAATTCAATAACAGCGGGGGATTTCAACTATCCCCATAATTGACCGAGTACACATCACCTCAGGACGAGAAAAAATAAATAATTCAATAACAGCGGGGGATTTCAACTATCCCCATAATTGACCGAGTACACATCACCTCAGGACGAGAAGCAGAGACAAAATTTCTCAATACCTTAAATGACTGCTTCTTGGAGCAGCTGGTACAGGAACCCACAAGGGGAGAGGCAATTCTCAATTTAGTTCTGAGTGGCGTGCAGGATCTGGTCCAAGAGGTAACTATAACAGGACTGCTTGAAAATAGTGACCATAATATAATAACATTTAACATTCCTGTGGTGAGAAGAACACCTCAAGAGCCCAACACTGTGGCTTTTAATTTCAGAAAGGGGAACTATGCAAAAATGAGGAGGTTAGTTAAACAGAAATTAAAAGGTACAGTGACTAAAATAAAATCCCTGCAAGCTGCATGTACACTTTTCAAAGACACCATAAAAGAGGCCCAACTTAAATGTATACCCCAAATTGAAAAACACAGTAAAAGAACTAAAAAAGAGCCACCGTGGCTTAACAACCACGTAAAAGAAGCATTGAGAGATAAAAAAGACATCCTTCAAAAAGTGGAAGTCAAATCCTAGTGAGGTAAATAGAAAGGAGCATAAACACTGCCAAATTAAGTGTAAAAATGTAATAAGAAAAGCCAAAAAGGAGTTTGAAGAACAGCTAGCCGAAAACTCAAAAAGTAATAACAAAATTGTTTTTAAGTACCTCAGAAGCAGGAAGCCTGCTAAGCAACCAGTGGGGCCCCTGGATGATCAAGATACAAAAGGAGCCCTTAAAGAAGATAAAGTAATTGCGGAGAAAATACATAAATTATTTGCTTCAGTCTTCACAGCTGAGAATGTTAGGGAGATACCCAAACCTGACTCGTCCTTTGTAGGTGACAAATCTGAGGACTTGTCACAGATTGAAGTGTCCTTAGAGGAGGTTTTGGAATTCATTGATAAACTGAACAGTAATAAGTCACCGGGACCAGATGGCATTCACCCAAGTGGTCTGAAAGAACTCAAATGTGAAATTGCAGAACTTTTAACTATGGTTTGTAACCTGTCCTTTAAATCAGCTCCTGTGCCCAATGACCGGAAAATAGTTAATGTAACACCAATATTTAAAATCGGCTCTAGAGGCAAACCCAGCAGTTATAGACCGGTAAGTCTAATGTCAGTACCGGGCAAATTAGCTGAAACAATAGTAAAGAATAAAATTGTCAGACACATAGAAAAACATAATTTCTTGGGCAAAAGTCAACATGGCTTCTATAAAGGGAAATCATGTCTTACTAATCTATTAGAGTTCTTTGAAGGGGTCAACAAACATGTGGACAAGGGGGATCCAGTAAATATAGTGTCCTTAGCTTTCCAGAAAGCCTTTGACAAGGTCCCTCACCAAAGGTTCTTAAATAAAGTAAGTTGTCATGGGACAAGAGGGAAGATCCTTTCTTGGATTGAGAACTGGTTAAAAGACAGGAAACGAAGGGAGGAATAAATGGTAAATTTTCAGAATGGAGAGAGGTAGCTAGTGGTGTTCCCCAAGGGTCAGTCCTAGGACCAATCCTATTCAACTTATTCATAAATGATCTGGAGAAAGGGGTAAACACGGAGGTGGCAAAGTTTGCAAACGATACTAAACTGCTCAGGTAGTTAATATCCAAAGCAGACTGTGAAGAACTTCAAAAATATCTCACCAAACTGAGTGATTGGGCAACAAAATGGCAAATGAAATTTAATGTGGATGAGTGTAAAGTAATGGAAAAAATAACCCCAACTATACATACAATCTGATGGGGGCTAATTTAGGCAGGCAAGCAGAGGATGGTCAGGTGGCCCTAATAGTCCTTTGATGTGTGTCAGCATGTTTTGGAGTGGATTCCCTGCTGACCCCAGTGGCCATCAAGGCTGCCACTGTTAGGGCCTTGGGCTGGGACATGGTGGAATAGGGAGACCCTGTGTCTCCCCTGCCACCTCCCCATACCGTTTTGCTTGCCTGCTCCACCCTGAACCAACATTAGAAAAGGTTCAGAGAAGAGGAAGTGAAATGCTTAGGGATTTGGAACGGGTCCCATATGAGGAGAGATTAAAGAGACTGGGACTTTTCAGCTTGGAAAGAGGAGACTAAGGGGGGATATGATAGAGGTCTATAAAATCATGAGTGGTGTGGAGAAAGTGAATAAGAGTATAATGGAGATTGCCTATCTCTTAGAACTGGAAGGGAGAGGTCATCAACTCCACTCCCCTGCCTTCACAGCAGGACCAAGTACCATCCCTGATGAATTTTTGCCCCAAATGGCCTCTGCAAGGATTGAACTCACAACCCTAGGTTTAACAAGCTAATGCTCAAACCACTGAGCTATCCCTCCCCCCAAGGAAAAGTTATTTACTTGTTCCCATAATATAAGAACTAGGTACCACCAAATGAACCTAATGGGCAGCAGGTTTAAAACAAATAAAAGGAAGTTCTTCTTCACACAGAGCATAGTCAATCTGTGGAACTCCTTGCCAGAGGAGGCTGTGAAGGCTAGGACTTAAACCGGGTTTAAAAGAGAACTAGATACATTCATGGAGGTTAAGTCTATAAATGGCTATCAGCCAGTATGGGTAAGGAATGGTGTCCCCAGCCTCTGTTTGTCAGAGAGTGGAGATGGATGGCAGGAGAGAGATCGCTTGATCATTACCTGTTCGATTCACTCCCTCTGGGACACCTGGCGCTGGCCACTGTTGGCAGACAGGATACTGGGCTGGATGGACCTTTGGCCTTATGTTATTATGAGATTAATTTTTGCCCTTTAAGTCATTTATTTAGCCCGGTGAGTCGGGTTTGACTAATGCCTAGTTTACACCAGGATTTTGACTCAAAGAATCATAGAGCTACCTGGGTAGAAGGGACTGTTAGGGTCACCCTGACTCATCCCTGCCAGGATATAGGATTTTTTACTTGTAAAGTATGCAGCCTTCTTTGAGAAACCTCTATTGAAAGAGTATAAACAACATGACTGTGTCTAGACTGGCAAGTTTTTCCGCAAACGAGGCCACTTTTGCGCAAAAACTTGCCAGCGGTCTCCACTGGCCGCTTGATTTTGCGCAAAAGCACTGACTTTCTACTGTCCAAAATTAGTGCTTCTTGCGCAAATGCTTTGATGTTCCCGTTCGGGCAAAAGCCCTTTTCCGGAAATGTTTTTGCACAAGAGGGCCAGTGTAGACAGCTAAAAACTGTTTTGCGCAAAAAAGCCTCAATGGCAAAAATGGCGATCGGGGCTTTCTTGTGCAAAACCGCGTCTAGATTAGCACAGATGCATTTCCACAAAAAGAGCTTTTGCGGAAAAGCGTCCGTGCCAATCTAGACGCTCTTTTCCGCAAATGCTTTAACAGAAAAACTTTTCCGTGAAAAGCATTTCTAGAAAATCGTGCCAGTCTAGATATGCAGACATCTATTCCAATATACTCTTGTTCTTAAGTTAAGAACTTTTTCTTGAGAGTTCATAGAATTAGAGAACACTAGAGCAGGAAGGTAGCTTGAGAAGTCATTACCTCCAGTCCCCTGCCCTTACCAAAAGACCAAACTCTAGCTAGATCATCCCTGATAGACGTCTACTCAAGCTGCTCTTAAGTATCCCCAAAGATGGAGATTCCACAACTTCCATTGCACCTTCCTAGTCACATCCAACCTAAACCTCCCTTGCTGCAATTTAAGCCCATTGCTTCTGGTCCTACCATAAGAGGTCGAGAACAATTTTTCTCCCTCCTCCTTGTAAGAAACTTTTAGGTATCTGAAAGCTGTTATCACATCCCCTTCTCAATCTCCCCAGTTCTTGATTTTAAAAAATCACATTCTTTCAGTCTTCTCTCCTAAGTCATGTTTTCTACACATTTACTTTTTTTTTTTTGCTCTTTTCTCCCTTTCTAACGTCTACATATATCACATCTACAGGTTCCCTCATATCCACAAGGCTTGTGACCCTATCAAAGAAAGCTATCAGGTTGGTTGGACATAATTTGATCTTGACAAATGCAATCTGACTGTTATATATCACATTATTATCATCTAGATGTTTGCAAAGAGAATCCTTAATTTCCTCTATCATCTTTCCTAGTTGAGAAGTTAAGTTGATTGGTCTATAATTTACTGGGTTGTCCTTATTTCTCTTTTTATACATGGACACTGTACTTGCCTTTTTGCAGTCTTGTGGAGTCTCTCTTACCTTCCAAAAATAATAACCAATGACTCAGATGTCTCCTCACTCTCGCCCTTGCTATTCAAGGATACATTTCATTAGACCCTGGTAACTTGAAGATTTCTAACACAAAGTGTTTCCTATTAACCTTTTCTCTCCATCCAGGCATCTGTCCTGTGATCATCACCTTAGATCCTGGGCACATACAGGAATTCTCGGAAACTTGAGTATATGCATGAGACACCATTCCATCTCAGAGTTGGACAACTTCTCCAACCCACTTCACCAACCCCTCCACCTTCATCCTGCTGGGCATCCCAGGCCTGGAGGAGGCCCATGTCTGGATCTCCATCCCTTTCTGCACCATGTACATCATAGCTGTTTTGGGGAACTTCATGATCCTCTTCATTGTGAAGATGGAGCTGAGACTTCATGAGCCCATGTACTATTTCCTCTGTATGCTGGCTGTCACCGACCTGGTCCTGTCTACATCCATTATGCCAAAAATTCTGAGCATCTTCTGGTTCAATTCCAGGGAAATTGATTTCAGTGCCTGCCTCATCCAGATGTTCTTCATTCATAGTGTCTCAGCAATGGAGTCTGGTATCTTCGTGGCCATGGCTTTTGATTGCCTTATGGCCATCTGTGATCCCCTAAGACATTCCACCACCCTGACAAACTCTGTCATGTCCAAGATCGGCCTGGCTGTGGTTCTGCGTGGTAGCACGCTCATACTGCCCTATCCCATCCTGGCGAAGCACTGGCCATACTGCAAAACTAATGTCATCTCTCACTCGTACTGTGAGCACATGGCCGTGGTGAAGCTGGCCTGTGCCGACATTCGCATCAGTAGTTATTACAGTCTCTCTGTGATATTCTTCCTTACTTGTCTGGATTTGTTTTTTATTGCTCTGTCCTATACACAGATCCTCAGGGCCATCTTTCACCTCCCCACAAAGGATGCCCGATTCAAGACTTTTGGAACCTGCATCTCCCACCTCTGCGCCATCTTAGCTTTTTATATGCCAGGTCTCTTCTCCTTCCTCACGCACCGGTTTGGCCAGAATGTAGCTCTGCATTTCCATATTCTCATGGCCAACATCTACCTCCTATTGCCCCCTATGCTAAACCCCATCATCTATGGGGTGAGGACCAAACAGATTCGGGACAGGCTGTTCCGGCTCTTTTTTCGTCAAGGGTCTTAAATTTTGTCCTCGTGCTCCGGCTGTCAGATTGAGCACTTTGTAGAGCTGGCTGGTGACGTGTTTCCTGAAACATATATTATATATACACACGCTCCCATATGTACAAAGAACTATCGGAAGACCAGGGCTTCAAATATTAGGAAACACTAGAATTAAGGCTGCTTGTGCACCTTAGTGCAGTTCTGTTGTGTATGTGTGTTATGATACCAACTCACAAGTGTGGCCTGCGGGACATTTCCTTCTTTGTACTATGTTGTTTTCTTCTAAACAAGCAAGGGAATTGGAGGTATCTGTATCACTGGGTGTCTTCCAGACAGGACTAGATGACTTTCTGGAGTGTGCTTTGGTCCATACTGGGATGTAATAGTGTAGTTGATTAACCTATTAACTGACAAGCATAAGCTTATCGGTTAATGCTATGGACTACAGCCAATCTCCCTTCCACCCGGCCAGTAAATTTTTTAGCAGGCTGGCCAGCAGCCTCTCTCAGGGTATGTCTACACTACAAAGTTAATTTGAACTAACACCCATTAGTTCGAATTAACTTTAATAGTCACTACACATACAAACCGCTAGTTCGAACTTAATTCGAACTAGCGGAGCGATTAATTCGAACTAGGCAAACCTCATTCCATGAGGACTAACGCCTAGTTCGAATTAAGTAGTTCGAATTAAGGGCTGTGTAGCTCCTTAATTCGAACTAGTGGGAGGCTAGCCCTCCCCAGCTTGCTCTGGTGGCCACTCTGGGCCAAACCAGGGAAACTCTTCTGCCCCCCTCTTGGCCCCGGAGCCCTTAAAGGGGCACAGCCTGGCTTCGGTGCCTGTGCCAGGTGCAAGCCTGCCAGCACCCAGCCAGCAGACCCTGCACCTGGCACGGCATGAGCCAGCCACCTGTTGTCACCCAGCCCTCCGCCTCTTCCCAGGACCTGGCTGGAGGCTCCCAGGAGCTTACCCAGGGCCACAAGAGGCGGGCGCCCGCCTGGTTTAGTGCGGAGATCTTTGATCTCATCCAGGTTTAGGGGAAGGCCTCCAGCGTCCACGATCTCTGCACTAGGCACAGGAAAGTGGCCGTCTAGGGCAGGAGATCTGCCAGTCTGGCCACCGAAGGCCACATGCGAACCCAGGACCAGGTTTGCATGAAATTCAAGGTGGTCCAGTGAGACCCCCACCCTGAGCCCCCCGGAGGGGATGGACCGAAGACAATGACCAAGCCATACGTCTCATGCCATCCATATCCAGCCTTCCAAAACAGAGGCCAGGGACACCATTTCTATCCCCTGGCTAATACCACTCCATGAACCCAGCCTCCATGACTTTATCTAAGTTCTCTTTAAACTCTGTTCTAGTTCTACCCTTCACAGCCTCCTGCAGCAAGGAGTTCCACAGGTTGACTATTTGCTTTGTGAAGAAGAACTTTCTGTTATTAGTTTGAAGCCTGCTACCCATTCATTTCATTTGGTGTCCTCTAGTCCTTCTATTATGGGAACTAATGAAGAACTTTTCTTTATTCACCCTCTCCACACCACTCATGCTTTTATAGACCTATATCATATCCCCCTTCAGTCTTCTCTTTTCTAAGCTGAAAAGTCCCAGTCACTTTAACCTCTCTTCATATGGGACCTGTTCCAAACCCCTAATCATTGTAGTTTCCCTTTTCTCAACCCTTTCCAAGGCCAAGATATCATTTTTGAGGTGAGGAGACCACATCTGTACACATTACTGAAGATATGGTGTACCATAGTTTGATACTTCCCCTCCTTCTTCTTCCCCTGGCTTCCCCCTTCCAGCTCCCTCCTTCCAGGTTTCCCCCTACCCTCTTCCACCCTCTCTCTTCCCCTCTTCCACCTCCTTTTCCCAGTCTCCCCAGAGGTTAATCTCCCCCCCCCCAGTTTTGTTAAATAAAAAGAGTTTCTATTTTTGAACACACGTGTCCTTTATTTTTTACATCAGGAAGGGGGGCTAGGGAGGGGTAAGTGGAAGGAGGTGAGGGAGGAATGGGGCAAAAGCCCCCAATGGGGATGACTGGGGTGGATCTGCGGGCTCTTCAGGGTGGAAGCTCTCCTGTAGCCCCCAGATTGAAAACCTCCTCCCCAGATGGCAGCCTGCAGCAAGTGCAGCCGGGCTGATGGCCGAGTGCTGTGATGTGCCGAGTGTGGGAACTCAGGGCACTCCAAGCCAGGACTGCTTTGCTGTCCCTCATCGAGTTAGACAAGCAAGTGGGGAACCCTGAGAACTGTCTGTCTGGGGTGGGGGTCGGGTCCTTTTAAGCACGGCCCTCGGCTAGCCTGAGACAGCATCTCCACGCTCTAATTCCTAACCCGATGCCCTGCCGGCACTGCTTCCGGCCAGCCTTAACCTCGGTTCAGGGTCCACTCAATGTGGACATGCTTGTTCGAATTAGCAAAATGCTAATTCGAACTAGTTTTTAGGTCTAGATGCACTAATTCAAATTAGTTTAGTTCAAATTAACTAATTCGAATTAAGTTAGTTCAAATTAGTGCTGTAGTGTAGACATAGCTTCCAATTCACCTTAAGAGGCTGTTGAAGGCTCAGGCTGCCTCTTCCACCCTTTCTCTTGCGTCCCAGCCATGAACAGTTCCTGCCAGAGCGGGCGTCCATTTCCCTCTTGGCATGACAGAGAGACCGTGGCGTGTCAGGACTCATGGGTTCTGTCTGTCCGCCTGCCACTCAGTCTCTGTGAGATCTCGCCAAGTCACCTCTCCCGAGGGCTCAGTTGACCTGTCTGCTAGTTTTCTTACTAATCTGCTCTTATTTTAATTACACACAAATGCTCAGAGCAGCCAATTTCTCTCTGACTCACCCCAGAGCCCTCCTCTCCCCTTGGGAAGATCCCTTCATTGCTGTTTACTCTTATAACTGGATCACTAGCAGAGAAGCAGACAGACTTCTCCACAGCCTGTTTGCATCCACAGGCCACTTCTCTGCAGAGGTGGAGCAAACTCCCGAGGCTGCCCAGAGCCAGATTATTCACAGGTTACCCTGGTGCCAGCTCTCGGCGTGGGATGCTGCTGCAGCTCCTTGGATCAGGGAGATGTCGGGCTCAGCTTGCTGAGGGGGATTCCCAGGGAAGACACTTCTGTATCAGAAATCACAGGTACCATCCTTAGCTGCAGAACGGGCCTGCTCGACATGGGCGTGTGAGGACAGCACGTTCGTCTGTGATGCTTTCTGCTCTGCACGGCCACTAAACATCCCAGGCCCGGGCCAAAGCGAAGAATTTGCACCAGTATGATGGGTCGAAATGTCCCTGTTTGCTGTCCCTCCCTGTCTGACAGCCTGCAGCCCCCAGGCATCTGTATGTCAGTGGCACGGGGATCCTACAGGCTGAAATTCAAGGTCAAGTTCTGCAGCTGTGGCCCATTCTTTGCCCAGGCCCACCTGAGGCCAAACACTTTCTTTGGAATAAGATCTGAGTAAAGCACTCAGGAGCTAGCTGTCTGTTAAGAACCAGAGCCTGAGACCCGCCTCTTGCATTCCAGGGCTCAGGCTGCTATTGGTGCCGGAGCTGTTAGCTGACTTCTATCTCCCGGAAAGCACGGTGCGGCTACAGCACCTCACTACGGCAATTATGAGAATTTTTCAGCCCGGGCAAAACAATTTCTCTCCCAGATTTATTTGAAAAATCACCCGGACGGTTACGTCTCGGACTTTTACACCTATTTCTTGTGGAAGCAAACACCCAGCTTAGGAAATCTCAGTGCCAACAGAGAACGTTTGGCAAACCTATAAGCAAGTGAAAATGAGCTCTTCTAGTGGAATGTGTCCGACAGCCTTCGCTACAGTTAGGGCAACCAGTCCTGCATAGAGGGACCAGTCGATTGGTGAGTCCCATTCACTCCTGCTCTTTGCTCCATTAGTGTGTGTGGCAAGAAGTTCCACAGGATTGTGTAAGCACTTTTCTTCTATCAGAGGGTATGTCTACACTACCCCCCTAGTTTGAACTAGCGGGGTAATGTAGGCATACCGCACTTGCAAATGAAGCCCGGGATTTGAATTTCCCGGGCTTCATTTGCATAAGTGGGGAGCCGCCATCTTTAAAACCCCGCTGGTTCGAACCCCGTGCAGCGCGGCTACACGGGGCTCGAACTAGGTAGTTCGAACTAGGCTTCCTATTCCGAACTACCGGTACACCTCGTTCCACGCGCTGCACGGGGTTCGAACCAGCGGGGTTTTAAAAATGGCGGCTCCCTGCTTATGCAAATGAAGTCCGGGAAATTCAAATCCTGGGCTTCATTTGCAAGTGCGGTATGCCTACGTTACCCCGCTACTTCGAACTAGGAGGGTAGTGTAGACATACCCCCTCTTATTGCTAACATGCCTGTAGAAACCTTTGTTTTCAAATCCCGGGCTTCATTTGCAAGTGCGGTTTGCCTACATTACCCTCCTAGTTCGAACTAGCGGGGTAGTGTAGACATACCCAGAGTTATACATACCAGCTTTCAGTGTAATTGAATATTCTCTTGTCCATGTGTTATGAGACACGGTAAATATAAGTGCCAGCTCTACTTTCATCATCAATACATTTATAGGATTTAAGATTATAAGGGGCCATCTAGTCTGACCTTCTGCAGAACACAGGAGGTTAAATTCTGCCCTTTGAGCCCGTTATTTAGCCCAGTGACTGATGTTTGACTGAGGCCTGGTTTACAGCAGGATTTTGCATCAATAGAGTCACATGGTTAGAAGGGACTGTTAAGAGTCATTTACGCTAATTCCTGCCCAGATACTAAAGTATGAAGCCTTCTTTGAGAAACCTCCATTGAAGGAGTATCCACAACTTCTGTGGACATCTGTTCCAATGTGCTGCTCTCCTTAAGTTAAGAACTTTTTCTTGAGATTTCATGGAATCATAGAACAATAGAAGTGCAAGGGACCTTGAGAGGTCATCAAGCCCTGTTCCCCATCCGCACTGCAGAACCTAACACCGTCTAGTCTTCCCTCATTGGTCATGTTTTCTAGGCATTTCATAATTTTTGTGGCTTTTCTCTCCCTTGCTAACATCTTCCTATACCACATCCACAGGTTCCCTCATATCCACAAGGCTTGCGACCCTAGCAAAGAAAGCTATCAGGTTGGTTGGACATAATTTGATCTTGACAACTCCAACTGACTGTAATATTTCACATTATTATCATCTGGATGTTTGCAAAGAGAATCCTTAATTATTTGCTTTCTTATCTTTCCTAGTTGAGAAGTTAAGCTGATTGGTCTATAATTTACTGGGTTGTCCTTATTTCTATTTTAATACGTGGACACTGTATTTGCCTTTTTGCAGTCTTGTGGGGTCTCTCCCATCTTGCATGACATTTCAAAAATAATAACCAATGACTCTGAGGTCTCCTAAGTCAGATCCTTTGTATTCTAGGATATAATTTCATCAGGTCCTACTAAATTAAGAATATCTAACATGATGGCTGCGTCTAGACTGGCAAGTTTTTGTGGAACCAGCAGCTTTTGTGGAAAAACTTGCCAGCTGTCTACACTGGCCGCTTGAATTTCCACAAGAACATTGACGATCTCATGTAAGATTGTCAGTTTTCTTGCGGAAATACTATGCTGCTCCCGTTTGGGCAAAAGCCCTCTTGCGCAAATGCTTTTGAGCAAAAGTGCCAGTGTAGACAAAGCGGTATTGTTTTGCGCAAAAAAACTCCAACTGCAAAAATGGTGATCGGGGCTTTCTTGAGCAAAACTGCATCTAGATTGGCATGGACGCATTTCCACAAAAAGTGCTTTTGCAGAAAAGCGTCTGTGCAAATCTAGACATTCTTTTCCACAAATGCTTTTAACAGAGAAACTTTCCGTTAAAAGCATTTGTGGAAAATCATGCCAGTCTAGAAGTAGCCGATGTGTTTCCTATTAACCTCTTCTATGCACATAGGCATCTGTAGATGTATATATGTCCTTTACAAGGCTTCTAGAATCTTACCCATATTCAATGACTTTGCAAAAATAATAGTTAATAGTTTGGCCATATTCTCACTTGCATTCTTGATATTCTAGGACACATTTCATCAGACCTAGGTGACTAGAAGATATCTAACAGGAAGTGTTTCATATTAATGTTGTCTCTCCACCCAGGCATTTGGTCTGCAACCATCACCCTGAACTCTGTGTACATATAGGAAGTCACAGAAATTTAGGGTATATGCATGAGACATTGTTTTGCCTCAGAGTTGGACACATTCTCCTCTACTCCATGTCAGATCCAAACACAACTGACTTCACCAACCCCTCCACCTTCATCCTGCAGGGCATCCCTGGTCTGGAGATGGCCCATGTCTGGATCTCCATCCCCTTCTGTGCCATGTACATCATAGCCCTCTTGGGGAACTTCACCATCCTGTTCATTGTGAAGATGGAACCGAGCCTCCATGAGCCCATGTACTATTTCCTCTGCATGCTGGCTGTGACTGACCTAGTTCTGTCCACGTCCATCACACCTAAAATGCTGAGCATCTTCTGGTTCCATTCCAGGGAGATCAATTTCAATGCCTGCTTCAGCCAGATGTACTTCATTCACTCCTTCACAGCAATTGAGTCTGGGATCTTTGTGGCCATGGCTTTGGATCGATACGTGGCCATCTGCCATCCCCTGAGACATTCCACCATCCTCACAAACCATGTGGTGGCCAAGATCGGCCTGGCCGTGGTGCTGCGTGGAGGCATATTCATGCTTCCCCATCCTTTCTTGGCAAGGAAATGGCCATATTGCAAAACCAACATTATCCCTCACTCGTATTGCGAGCACATGGCTGTGGTGAAGCTGGCCTGTGCCGACATCCGTGTCAGTAGTTTCTACAGTCTCTTTGTGATATTTTTCATTACTTGTTTGGATGTGTTTTTCATCACTCTGTCCTATACTCAGATCCTCAGGGACATATTCAGCCTCCCCACAAAGGACGCCCGGATCAAGACTTTTGGAACGTGCATCTCCCATCTTTGCGCCATCTTAGCCTTTTACATTCCAGCTCTTTTCTCCTTCCTGACACACAGGTTTGGCCAGAATGTGTCCCTGGAATTCCACATTCTCATGGCCAACATCTATCTCCTATTGCCCCCCATGCTAAACCCCATTGTCTACGGTGTGAGGACCAAACAAATCCGGGACAGGCTGCTCCAGCTCTTTGCTCATAGATGGTCGTTAAGTTTTCTCATGGTGCTCTGGCTCTCACGCTGAGTGCTGTCCTGGGCTGGCTGGTGGCATGGTCCTGGGCCCTATTTTCCTGTGTTCTGGGCCCAATTAGGAAAGGGGCTTTAGAGGCTGCAGCCTTGGCCCCCAGTCTAAAGGGACCCCTTATCCCAAGAGCATGGAATACAGCCCGAATGCCCCATGTTTTGGGCCAGCCCCTCCCAGTGGGCTGGAAGTAAGGTGGCTTTGTGTGCTTCTGGTCCTTCCCATACAGCTGGAGTCATGTTGTGTCAAGTGCTGGGTACTTGTGTGCTGTCCCACCCCTCCTCCCCGGACACTCATCCCCTGCAGCTCCCATTAGCCAGGAATTGCAGCCAATGGGAACTATAGGTGACCATGGGCTGTGTGGACCACCAGAGTCTCCAAAACCAAATGGGAGCTGTCCCAGGTAAGCTCCTCACAACACATCCTCCTGCCGCAGCTCTGAGCCTCCTTCTGCTCCCTAACACCGAGAAACCACACACCAAACCTGAGCCCTTTTGTGCACCTCAGCTCTGATCCATGTGCCACATTCCTACCCCTTGAGAGCACCTCCCCACAGTCCAGATCCCTTGGACCCAGCCTGGAGTCCCCTCCTCCATTCTAAACACGTCTACCACAAGCTCATGCCTGAAGCCCCACACCCAGTGTGTCTAGACTGCAGGGTTTTGTCGACAAAAGTGAGCTTTTGTCGACAAAACTATACCTGTGTCTACACTGCCGCCACGTTCTGTCGACATAACATCGACAGAACTCAGCAGTTTTGTCGACGGCTGTAAACCTCATTCTACGAGGAATAACGCCTTTTTTGCATCTACATTATTATCTGCTTCATTCTGACGTTATTGCATCTACGCTGTCCTTTATGTCTACACTCTCATGTTGACAAAGCATCAAGCTTTGTCGACAGAAGTGGATGTAGTCTAGATGCTCTTTGTCAACAGAAGCCTATAGCCTAAAAGTACTCCCAGTGAGAGCCCACACTCCCTCCCACACTCACTCTACTACCTCAACCTGCAGCCAGTTGTCTTGCATCCTGAATCCCTCATTCTGGCCCCACACTGAGCCTAGGGGGCCCCACCAAATCTAATATCTCTGCACCCTGAGAAGAGCATTTCAGCCCTGCCTGTGGGGCTGGACAGTCAGAGGAACATGAATCCCTTTCTTGAGCTGAATGTGCTGCACTTGCATTACAGAATTGGGCCGCGTTCACTGAGGAACTCACGGGGTTGCCAACAGTCAAAGTGCAGACAGCTGGGTACCGGGAACCCCCTTCTCCAGCTCCGTTCCTGCACTACCCCTTTCCGCAAGGGTCCTAGGCCAGTGCTTCCTTCTACTTTCCTGCCTCTGTTACTTACTGGATCATTCCCACCTCTGTCCCCCACCTCCAGCTGCATATTTGGTAGGGGTGAAAACTTCACCGTGATTCCAGGGGTTACTCTACGGTTTGGCAGATAACAAGCAATTAGGGGTCAGGAGCTCTCTATATCACTCCTATAGAAGAGAGAAAATGAATCCTTAGCAGATGCTCTCTACTCTAATACTAACATGGGCTGACCTTGTGTGGCAAGTCTCTTACGTGATATTGCTTAGCTTTAATATTTTAATAGAAATGCTCACTGCATCGCTAACTCTTCAGAGAGAGCGACGAGGAGTCCTGTGGCACCTTATAGACTAACTGAAGTGTAGGAGCATAAGCTTTCGTGGGCAAAGACCCACTTTCGCCCACGAAAGCTTATGCTCCTACACTTCAGTTAGTCTATAAGGTGCCACAGGACTCCTCGTCGCTCTCTCTGAAGAGTTAGCGATGCAGTGAGCATTTCTATTAAAATATTAAAGCTAAGCAATATCACGTAAGAGACTTGCCACACAAGGTCAGCCCATCCTTACCCACAAGATCATGCTGAGCCAATCCTTTAGAATCTAAAATCTAAAGGCTTATTACTAAAAACAAAAAGCATGAGAGGTTGTTAAAGTATCATACATTACATGCATCAAATCTCCCAGTTCTTGATGCAGGCTCGCAGCAGAGATGTTACAGCTGCTGGCTTAAAAGTCTTTGGTGTACATTCTATGTCCAGATGGGTCCACAGTTCTTTCCAGCTCGTGATTCCCTGTGAGTCCACATCTGGAGTCAGGAGCAGATCTGAAGACCAAAATGGAGGCTGGCCCTAGTTCTTGATGCAGGCTCGCAGCAGAGATGTTACAGCTGCTGGCTTAAAAGTCTTTGGTGTACATTCTATGTCCAGATGGGTCCACAGTTCTTTCCAGCTCGTGATTCCCTGTGAGTCCACATCTGGAGACAGGAGCAGATCTGAAGACCAAAATGGAGGCTGCCACATGGCATCTTTATACCTCCTTCCTGGTCTGTTCTTGGCTGCAGCAGGTCACCTGGTTCGTGGCCTGTGTGGGAGGGAGTGTGGGCTCTCACTGGGAGTACTTTTAGGCTATAGGCTTCTGTTGACAAAGAGCATCTAGACTACATCCACTTCTGTCGACAAAGCTTGATGCTTTGTCAACATGAGAGTGTAGACATAAAGGACAGCGTAGATGCAATAACCCCTAATTCTAATAAGCTTCCTTTATTGCATCCCCCAAATTAGCTACAAGTCTGACATTTCAAAGTTCAACACATTTGCACTATTAACTTCACATTTAGAAATAATATGGTTCTGTAATGTACTGAACACCAGATTCTGCACCTTTCCCCACTTCTCTTCTATTTACCTCATTTATTTTTATGACTAAGTTGAAATTTGCCTTTGAGGCCTCAGTCTAGTGAGAAAACATTATTTTATTACTTACAGGAACATAAACTTCCTAATAACTCCTCTATTGCTAGCCTCTCTTGCAGCAGGGTAATTAAAATGCATTCATTGCTAAATGTTCCAAACTTCTGGGATATACGTCCCGATTCTGAATACCTCTGTGCTCCTTTTATTCTGGTTCCACCATCATTAAAGAACCCTAAAACCCACTGAATAGCAACTATGAACTCCCCTTGGCATTTGTGTATGTGGAGCAAGAGTGCAGGGGACAAGAAGTAGGGGAAAAAACAACAAACGGTCTGGTGTCATTTGAATATTGTTGAGCCTAAATAGTGTCTCTATGTCCCCACCCCCAATTCCTAGCATGATGGTTTGTGGCTGCGATCAGAGCACCATTACACTCCACTTATTCTCCACAGACGCAATGGACCGTTAGACAATGTTTCAGATAAGCACAGGCTAGATCTGTCAATTGGAAAAACAAAAGAGTTCAAAGTTAGAGCTGCTGCTCTCTTTTTAATTTTTGTATAGTTGTTTCATTATCCATAGTACAGTACTTATGATGCTCCGAGTTTCCTGAAATAACTAGTGATAAGCTTAAGATAAAATATATCTTAATGTTAAATTTCCTTTTGCTGCTCCATGACAAGCTTACCTTGATAATGAGCAAGTCTCCATAGAACAATAGCCCTCTATAGGCCAAGGACTCACCTCAAGAATGGTGACTGATACCTAAGGGCTACCAGCAGGGAACACAGGGACAGGCCACGAACCAGGTGACCTGCTGCAGCCAAGAACAGACCAGGAAGGAGGTATAAAGATGCCATGTGGCAGCCTCCATTTTGGTCTTCAGATCTGCTCCTGTCTCCAGATGTGGACTCACAGGGAATCACGAGCTGGAAAGAACTGTGGACCCATCTGGACATAGAATGTACACCAAAGACTTTTAAGCCAGCAGCTGTAACATCTCTGCTGCGAGCCTGCATCAAGAACTGGGAGATTTGATGCATGTAATGTATGATACTTTAACAACCTCTCATGCTTTTTGTTTTTAGTAATAAGCCTTTAGATTTTAGATTCTAAAGGATTGGCTCAGCATGATCTTGTGGGTAAGGCCTTTTAATGTTCTTATAAAGACTCCAGAAATATCTGGCTCCTTTGTAACCCATTAGACCCAACTCCCCTCAAAGAGTGGAGATAGAACTTGGGAGCTGTGATGGGTCCTTCTCTCTGAAGAATCAGAGGGGTAGCCGTGTTAGTCTGAATCTGCAAAAGCGACGAGGAGTCCTGTGGCACCTTATAGACTAACTGAAGTGTAGGAGCATAAGCTTTCGTGGGCAAAGACCCACTTTCGCCCACGAAAGCTTATGCTCCTACACTTCAGTTAGTCTATAAGGTGCCACAGGACTCCTCGTCGCTTTTGCAGATTCAGACTAACACGGCTACCCCTCTGATTCTTCAGAGAGAAGGACCCATCACAGCTCCCAAGTTCTATCTCCACTCTTTGAGGGGAGTTGGGTCTAATGGGTTACAAAGGAGCCAGATATTTCTGGAGTCTTTATAAGAACATTAAAACAGCTTTGAACCCCGCCAGCCGGACCGGATCTAGCGAGTTCCGAGTCCTTAGGGTCCTGGGCTGGGGCCCGTGAAAGAGGAAGGGCCCGGGCCCGGGCCCCCCTTTCCCACCCTTCCCCCAAGGGGGCGACAGTAGGAAGAAAACTGTGTTCAGGGGAAAACCTACGGTGATGTAATCACGCCGACATAGGCGGCGTGCATGGGGTGCCACAAGTAGGCAATTAACAGCAAAGAAAGATGCTCAAGTACAGGTAAGCTTGTCATGGAGCAGCAAAAGGAAATTTAACATTAAGATATATTTTATCTTAAGCTTATCACTAGTTATTTCAGGAAACTCGGAGCATCATAAGTACTGTACTATGGATAATGAAACAACTATACAAAAATTAAAAAGAGAGCAGCAGCTCTAACTTTGAACTCTTTTGTTTTTCCAATTGACAGATCTAGCCTGTGCTTATCTGAAACATTGTCTAACGGTCCATTGCGTCTGTGGAGAATAAGTGGAGTGTAATGGTGCTCTGATCGCAGCCACAAACCATCATGCTAGGAATTGGGGGTGGGGACATAGAGACACTATTTAGGCTCAACAATATTCAAATGACACCAGACCATTTGTTGTTTTTTCCCCTACTTCTTGTCCCCTGCACTCTTGCTCCACATACACAAATGCCAAGGGGAGTTCATAGTTGCTATTCAGTTGGTTTTAGGGTTCTTTAATGATGGTGGAACCAGAATAAAAGGAGCACAGAGGTATTCAGAATCGGGACGTATATCCCAAAAGTTTGGAACATTTAGCAATGAATGCATTTTAATTACCCTGCTGCAAGAGAGGCTAGCAATAGAGGAGTTATTAGGAAGTTTATGTTCCTGTAAGTAATAAAATAATGTTTTCTCACTAGACTGAGGCCTCAAAGGCAAATTTCAACTTAGTCATAAAAATAAATGAGGTAAATAGAAGAGAAGTGGGGAAAGGTGCAGAATCTGGTGTTCAGTACATTACAGAACCATATTATTTCTAAATGTGAAGTTAATAGTGCAAATGTGTTGAACTTTGAAATGTCAGACTTGTAGCTAATTTGGGGGATGCAATAAAGGAAGCTTATTAGAATTAGGGTTATAGTGGCCTCACAATATTCATTTAAAAAAAAAAAAAAACCTGTTACTTCAATGGAAACACCACAAGATTTAGGGGACCTTTGTACCTTGCTCTCACATAGCATAAAAACACCCAGACCCTGTACTCGGGATATGGAACAGATTTCATGAAGAGAGATTCAAAAGACAAAGAGTTTTCAGCTTGGAAAAGAGATAACAAAGGGGGATGGGAGAGAGGTCTGTAAAATCATGAATGGTGCGGAAAAATTGAATATGAACCTGACATTTACATTTTCACATGAATCAGCGACCAGGAGTGACCCAATACAATTAAGAGAAAGCATATTTCAAATAAACCAAGGAAAATATTTCTTGGCAGCACACTTGTAACACACAACAGAGAGTGTTGTGCAGACCTCAGCAATCACACAGTTCCGGTAAGAACTAGACACGTGCATGGAGGATCCCTCAGTGGCTATTACCCAGGATGGATAGGAATGGTGTCCCTAACCTCTGTTTGCCAGAATCTGGGAGTGGGCAAGAAGGCTTGACTCACATTATGATTGTTGTGTTTTGTCCATTGCTTCTGAAGCACGTGGAATTGGGCATTGTTAGAAGAAGGAACGCGCGGTGTGACAGGCCATTTGTCTTACCCAATGTTGGGTGCCAGTGTCCGCCGGTTCGCCACCTCGGCCATCCGCAGGTCCCACTACGAGGATGGGCCGGGAAAGGTAACAGCGCTGGGACTGGCCCCTCACCCCGCGCGCGGCCTGGCCCCGAGGCCTGCGGGGAGCGGCGCTTCCCGGCCAAGGCGCGTTTAAACAGCCCCTGGGCTGTGGGTGAATAGGGCGCCCCGGGGGACTCTGCGCCCTGTGCCCGGGGTCCCAGGAGGCGAGTTCTGCCCCCGCCCCGTACGAGGGGGTGTCTGGTCCCCTCCGTGGCCGCAGACAAGTCAGAGCTGGGTCCAGCATTCAAAGCACGGAAAGAGCGACCACTGCGAGGCCTTTTCCGCCTCCCGCCGGCCTCTGCCAGCAGCCATGACGAGGTCCCGCAGTGATACGGGTGCGGTGCCCTTGGCCGACCTCTGCCTTCCCTCTTCCCAGCTCCTCCTCCTCCTCCTTCGGTGGTACAAATGATGTGAACACAACAGTATGAGAGAAGCGATGATACTGTAAACGCTTTCTGATGTACCAGCTTGCACTGCCCTTTCAAAGTAGAGCCATCGGCTGTTAGAACATCAACCTCGGGACATTTAGCAAACGGCTTGGTTAGCCTGTATTCTCCCCCTCTTTTCCCAGGAGCTTAGCTAATTAAAATATCAAGTTCACATGTTAATTAGCTATTTCTTTCTCCCTTCAAGCTACCTGTCAAGATTTCATTCAGTGTCTAAGTTTTGCTGTTTATAAAGGTAGATGCACAAAGTATTAGATGAAGTGTCTGGAAAAAAAGTAAACATACCTTTCTCCGGCTCATCAATACGATGATTCCCTTGATAACATATTGTGAACATACTTTTTTTTTTTCTAGAATATTCCGTTTTCTGTAGAAAACAAATGGCGGCTACTAGGATTAATGGCAGTGTTCTTCAGAAGTGGATTTACCTTGCCTTTTATTGTAGTAAGGCACCAGCTGCTCAAGAAATAGAGGACAACCTTTAATTCTGTAACAAGGTAACCAATTCTAGCTATTCCTTTAACCTCTGTTAAAGGAGATGAACAAGCTGAGCTACTTATAAAGCCTAAAAATTAAACTTTTACCTGTATTGTCTCACTTTTAGATATTCTAGTTGCGTGTATAATTCAGTGTAGAGAATATTCTGTGCAGAGAATACAATCTTTTTTTATCAAAAGTGAATTGTCTCACTTTTAGATATTCTAGTTGCGTGTATAATTCAGTGTAGAGAACATTCTGTGCAGAGAATAGTCTTTTTTTATCAAAAGTGACAGCATTGCTTCAAGTCAAAAGAGTGTATCCTATTATCACACTGCTCTTGCATACCGTTTATTGGGGTATCGTGGCACACAGGAACAAACCAGGATGATTAAATATGATACCATCAGTGTTTTCTTGATGCAACACTTATCTGGCACACAGGAACAAACCAGGATGATTAAATATGATACCATCAGTGTTTTCAGATAAGTGTCACATCAAGAATGTTGTTAACTACAAAATATATCTGCTAGAATGCAAATGACAAACATTCTGTTCCTTAGGTAAAACAAACTTGGCCATTTAAGAAACGAGCTTTGAAGTCTGTTCACCTGATCTGGCTTTCATAATACGGGCCAGAGAACTCTTCCTCCTTCTCTCCCAAAAATAATTTTTGGAGCCTCACTCAAGAAAAAAAAATCCAAACTTGATCTTAAAATGGTGGAGTCTCGATTACAACTTGATGAGTTTTTCCAATAGATTAATTTAAAATGTATACCTCGTTTAGTCTTAATTTGATTTGCTTCAGTATTCAGCCATTGGATTGTTACACCTTTCTTTGCTAGGTTGAAGAGTGGTTATTAAACTTTTTCCACATAAAAGTACTTTGACTAAGTCACTTCTTAATATTTTCTTCAGCAAAATAAATTGAGTTTTATAAGCCTAAGATATTACCTTAGCAAATCTCCCCTCTGCCCCATACTTACTGTTTCACTATCTCCCTCTTAGACTAAAAGCACTTAAATTGCTCCCAAAGAGAACCTACTAACAGCAATACAATACAGTATTGCAAGTAGATTGGTTTCATCAACATTTACATCTAGTTTAAACATTTCTATAAAAGGATAACTTTTTTTTTGTCAAGCTCCAGGCTTCTTGGTGGGGGTCTAGACTCTCAGAATACAAAAA